CAGCGGGTGTGGGGCTGGGACTGGGCTCGGCCGCGCTGGCACCCCCCGTCCTGCCAGTGGGGGTCCCGGCCGCTCCTTGCTGCTTTGTCATCTTGGCCGGCCGAAAGCCAAGCTGCCGGCACATCTCTCGCCCTGGGCTCAGCGCTGCGGTGCCGCGGTGTCAGGGATGGCGCTTCGCCACGCACCCCCCCGGGAGCTGTGCCGGCGGGCTCGGCCGCTCCCTGCCGCGACACGGCTCCGGTCCCTTCACACCTGCTCCGTAAGTGCCTTTTGCTGTATCCCATGTCTGTGCCATGAATATTTGATCCTCGACAAACAGGAGCGTCCCTCTGGGTGTCTCTGCGTGCAGGCAGAGCCCCGCAGCGGGGGGAGGCCGGGGTCCCCCGGCCGCAGGGGAAAGCATCGCCCAGGCTGTGCGGGGAGCCGGCAGCTCAGCCAGGCTTCGAGCCTGGGGCTTCGGGGACCCAGCCCGGGGCCGTGCACGTGAAGCATCTTTCCTGCGGGTCCAGAGCTGGAGCCAGCACCTGCCAGAGTGTGGGCACCGGGCTCCCAGTGATCTGGGGGGTCTGGGGGGGGACCCTGCAGGGGGTTAATTCTTGCAATCACCTCTTTGCTCAGGCTGCTCCCCGGCTTGTGTTCACAGGGTCAGGTTTCCTCGCCGCAACTGGTTCTGGTTATCCCAGCGCGGGAGCAGCGTGGGGGGCTCCTCCGTGCTGCAGACGGGAGGATGATTGCGGAGGGGAGCGGTGGGGGGACGCCCGGGTGTGCGGGGAGGCGAAGGGAGAGGGGCCTGGAGCGTCACACTTGCAGAGAGCTCGTCTCTGCTGGGGGCGGGGGACAGGGGACCCCCCACCCACTGCCGTGGGGGGCGTGGCACCCCCCCCCCCCCTGCCGTCCCCGCTGGGCACCCTCCCTGGGGAGCAGCCTTACCCATGCGGAGACTCTGCATCCCGGGCTCCAGGAGCATCGCCATGGCGGCCTCGCCTTCCCGGCTGCAAGAGAAGGAAGAGGGACGATGGGACGAGCGTCCGTGTACCCCGAGGCACTGACTACCCCCTCAGCAGCGGGGTGCGCAGGGTGCCATGGGCTGGGGTGTCCACAGGCACCCCTCACCCCCCTGAGCATTACTGGGTGAGCCCAGGCTCAAGCCCCCCTCAAAGACCCAGCAGGGACAGGGCTGGCTGTGACTCTGCATCCCCCGGGACCCCGCAGGAGCAGGGGCTGCAGGTGGGAGACCCCAAAGCCCGGGGGGGCCCAGGTTGCAATAGGGTGCAGGAGGGTGGGGGCTCGGCCTGTACCTGCCTGCCTGTGGCGGGGGGCTGTCCCGGTTCAGCGCACACCCCATCGGCACCAGCCAGGCGCTGGCACAGCCTCTGCGGGAGGGGGGGAACCGGGTTCCTTTCATTCAGCGGGTCTAACAGATGTGCGTGATACAGATGTGTGCAAAATGCCGTTCCACCAGCGTGGGGTCCGTGCTGCAGATTTTTAGGCTTGATCAAAGAAAGAAACTGAGGGCAGGTGATCCTTTAAAGTTATATTCTTAATCGAAGCAGTCACTGCCCAGGGCCAGGCTCCTTGCAGCATGGTGGCCGCACTGACAGGAGCAGGAATGGCGAAAGGCATCCTTGTCCATCCTAGGGGCTGCGACCCAGCGTTGACCAGCTCCAAAACTGCTTCCCTGGCTAATAAACCGTCTCCTGGCTCTCTGCCTGATGTGAGAGCATCCCATCACCTCCGAGGCTGCCTGCCCCGCACCGGCTGCTTTCATCCAGCGGAGCTGCGGGCTCAGGACAAGGCTTAGCTCATCGGGGAGAGGCTTTGCTCCGAGCCAAACCCACCCACGCCGACCTGGCGGCCAGATCCTGCTCTCGGCAGCCTCCTGAGAAAAAGCCTTGTGCTAAAAATGGCAGGTGCTGAGCCTTTCCCCGGAGTGGGGGGGCTTCTGCTCCGGCCACCCCAGCGGAGGAGGCGGCGAGGGGCTGAGTGAGGAGGAGCTGTGGCCGATGAAGGCTGTGGGTCAAACCGCAGCAGGGAACGTGGTGCTGGTGGTTCTGGGAGGGCTCAGGAGGGTGTCTGGCAGGCTGAGGCTGTCAGAGGGGCTTCTCCACCAAAACTGGGCTTCCCATGAGGTTGTGAGAGTGCCTTGCAAGGACGTGCTCAGGGGATCACCCCTCCAATGCTGGGAATTTGCGTCTCCTCCGGCAGAAGCTCTGCCCGGGGCTTAGCTCGCATTTTTGGTGTCCGTTTGTCCCGTCTGCAGGTCAGACACCCCTCGTGCTGCTCCGGGGCCAGGTGGGGGGTAACCCTGGGTCTGCTACCCCAGAGCCCAACCTGATGGGGCTGCGCAGGGACGGCCTCCGCGTCCCTGTCCCCGTCCCCGGGGTCTGAGCTCCCAGGGGAGGCCACCCGCATCCCGCTGATGCACGGAGCTGTCAGCCCGAGCAGGAGGGAGCAGCGAGGCCCCGAGTCCTGGTGACTCAACGGTTTCATTCCCTGCTCCTCCGTGGCCATGGGATGGTCCGGGCAGTCGGTCCAGAGCCTGTACAGACCCTCAGGCTCTGGATGGCTGAAATCCTCCATCTCAGCAAACCAAACTGACAGCAGGTCTCGCCAGGGGGGTTGGCCGACGGCCGCCTTTGTCCCCAAGCTGCCAAGCCCCTGCCTGGGGTCCCGGCGAGGAAGGTGAGCGGGCTCAGCCCGCCCTGGCAGCTGGTGGCAGCACACCAAGGGGCCGAGGTGTCCTCCAGCCCCCCGAGGGGTTTCGTCCGGCCGTGCCTCTCCTCGTGCAGCGCTGGAGACCCGGCCTCTGCACCCTGTGCCGGCCAGGCGCTGGCGAGGCTTTGGGGTACCCAGCGAGCCTGGCACCCCCACAATCCCGGCCGGTGGACACAAGTGGATCCCTCCCTTCCCATGCACACACGTGTGAGCAGGACACGCACCTGCGTCGAGCGCAGCTGTGCAGAGCCCTTGCGTCCTCCAGCGCCATCCCCGTGCAGGTCCTGGGCAGTGATCACTCTGCCTGCAGGTGAAGCTGCCTGCACCCACGGCCCCTCCCAGGGACATGGGCTGAAGCCCCCGGCTCTGGGGGGCCCTGCCGTGCTGCCGGGGAGAGGGTCCCGCCGGCTCCTGGCGCTTGCTCTGACAGCTTGTGCAGGAGCAGCGTTTTTGAGGACTTTCCACCATTTCCGCCTCTGCAGGGGCTCACGGAAATGGGGAAGGAAACAAGTTTGGGACGGCTTCAGGGCAGCCGAGCCGGGCAGGCGGGGCACCGGGGCATCGGTAAGGCCTCGCCGAGCGTGGCATGGGGACGCTGGCTTCGCTGGGCACGGTGTCCCCGTGGCTCGGGCTGCCCCAGCTGGGGGGAGGCTCGGGGCAGCTGTGGGGCTGGGCTCCAGATGTGCAGGGAGCGGGAGGAGGCATTCGTCCCCACAAGCCTCTTGTACCGGGAATGAACACATCTGTGGGGTTGGGGAGCCCCTGCATCCCACGGGCAAAGCTGTTGGGTTTCCGTGGCCGTTTGTGGGAGTCCTCCCCTTCCCGCTGCCATCGCTCGGCCATGGCTGGGACACGGGAGCTGGCGGGATGTCCCCAGCGTGGCTTGCCCTGACACGGGCTGCCACCGCACTTGCAGCCCCTGCGCGGTGCTGGCACGTCACGGCACTATCCCTGTGGTTCGTGGTGGTATCCCCGCGGTCACAGCGGTATCCCCCCAGGATGGGGCGCGCAGGGGACGGTGCCCACGGCAGCACATGGAGGGGCTCAACGCAGCAATCCCCACTCCCACCCGTGCCCGCAGCCCGCATCCTTGCTGGGGAGAGGCCCCAGGAGTCCTGACACCACCACCCCCCCCAGTGCCAGTGTGCTTGCTCACCAGTGCCCCCAAACTGGGCAGAGACCCCAGATGTCCTGGCCGGCTGGGGAGGTGACACCCTTGCCCCGGCCAAGGGAAGAGCCGGGCAATGCCGGGTCCCCGCGCCTCGGGCAGTGCCTCTGCTGGTCCCCAGCTCCCATGAAGCTCCATGGCCGCTTACCTCTGGGGGGGGGTGGACGACACAGGTTGGGGACCCCTCGGTCCAGCCACCGCCTTCTCGCTCCTGGCTCCTGCCGCCACCGGCGATGCCCTCCTGCCCGCAA